CAGGCATCAATTGGGGACACAGGAGGGATCTCATCATCTAAGGAGGAAGGCACGCTGATGGCTTCAGAGAGGAGGTGACATTTCAGTTGGATTTTGAAAGAGAAGTAGGGGTTTGTCAGGTGGAAAAGTGGGAGAAGGGCCGTCCAGGTGGAGGGAACTGTACCATGCAAAGACATGGAGGCGTGAAGGAGTTTGGCACGTGCAGGGAACACAGCCCAGGACAGCACAACACAGCTAACTGCTGAGGGTAGTGGCTGCAGAGGAGTTAGAGTAAGACCATGGTTACGAGGAGCTAAGACATCTGAACCTTATAGGCTACAGGAAGCTAGAAAAGGCTTTGATTCCATGGAGGGGCATATATAGACCTACATTTTAGAAAATTAATGCCAAATACAGTGTGGCTAAGAAAACGGAAACAATCAAAAGGGACTTTGACCAACTCCTGTCACCCCATCTACCACCTGCCAGCACCTGTCCAGGTACACTGCCTTCCCCTGCTAACACGGATGAATTAAGGGTTCTTCTCTCCAAAGTCAGCCCCTCCTCGCGTGCACTACATCACAGCTCCTCCTTGCTACCCAAGAACAAGCTTCCAGAAATTCTCCCCCTCTTGCCTGTGTTAACAAATATCTTTCTAGAGCATCACTGCTGTCAGCCTACAAATATATTGTTATTCCTCCCATCCTGAGAAACCCTCTCTTGACCCCACTCTCCCAGCTACTGTCCCATTTCTCTCGTCCTTACAAAACACCATTAAGAAAGTTGTCACCAATTCCTCTTCTTGTTCTCTCCCTAAAATTCACTGCAACCAGGCTTTTCCCCTCTCCATACCACCAAAACTGCCCTGATCAAGATCTCAAATGACTCTGATCGTCATCCCAGAATTACTAACTTGAATGATCAACTCATAATCCTTACAGAACTTGACCTCTCCCTGCTCCTAGAAACACTTTCTCCACTTGGCTCCCAGGACCTCATACATCCCTAGAGTTCTTCCTACCTCGCTCACTGGTCCTCAGTTTCCTTGTATGGGGCCCTTCTTACCCCAGCTTTTTCATGCTGTTATGTCCTGGAACTCAGACCTTGGCCCCCAGTTCCTTTCTATCTACATTCACTCCTTGGTGAGTTCATCCATCTACACACCAGCAACCTTCCGTTTTATATTTCTAGCCCAGATCTCCCCCACTGAACCCCAGGCTTTGTTATCCGACTGCTTTCTCAACATCCTCACTTATACATCTAATAATTATCTCAGATTTATCACATTTCAAATCAAGCTCCTGATGGTCTGCCCCAAAGCCTCTCCTTCTGCAGACTCCCCACCTTACTTCATGCAATTCCATCCTTCCAGGCACTCAGGCCAAACACTTGGGTGCCATCATCAGTGGTATTTCTTTTTCTCTTGGGCCTCACATCCAATCTGCTAGCAAATCCCATTGGCTTCAACTTCAACGTATATCCAGGATCTGACACAACTTTCCCCTTCCATCACTGTCACTCCGGTCCAAGCCATCTCACCTGGATTATCATCATGTAGATTATCACTAGAGCCTCCTAAGTAGTCTCCCTGTTTCAACCCTTGCTCCCAACTCCCTAGCCAATTCCCCACCCAGTAAAGAATGGTCTTTTTAAAACTAAATCTGGTCATTTGATGATGGCCATTCTGACAGGTGTGAGATGATATCTCATTGTGATTTTGATTTGCGTTTCCCTGATATTAGTGATGCTGAGCAACTTTTCGTGTTCCTGTTGGCCATCTGCATTTCCTCTTTTGGAAAAATGTCTGTTCAGTTCTTCTGCCCGTATTTTAAATGGGTTGTTTGTTTGCTTTTTAATTGAAATACAGTTGATTTAAAATGTTGTATTAGTTTCTGGTGTACAGCATGGATGGACTTGAAGGGCATTATGCTAAGTGAAATGAGTCAGACAGAGAAAGACAAATACTGTAAGATAACACTTATATGTGGAATCTAAAAAGAAAATGCAACCAAACTACTGAATATAATAGAAAAGAAACAGACTCACAAATGTAGAGAAAGAGTTAGTGGTTACCAGCGGGATGAGCGGAGGGGCAAGATAGAGGTGGGAGATTAAGAGTATAAATTATCAGGTATAAAATAAGCTACAAGGATGTATTGTACACCATGGGGAATATAGCCAATATTGTATAATAACTGTAAATGAAGTATAACCTTTAAAAATTGTGAATCACTATATTGTATACCTGTAACATAATATTGTACATCATTTATACTTCAATTTAAAAATATGACATTGTAAAATAAATACATAAATAAATAAAAATTTTAAAATATCAAAAAAAAACTAAGTCAGGTCATATTGCTCATAACCTTCCAGTGTGTCCTTGTTTATCTCAGAGTAAAGGCCAACATTTTCACAATGTTGCTCAGCATCATTAATATCAGGGAAATGCAAATCAAGGCCTAGATAATGGCCTCCCATCACTTACTTAGTATATTATTATATCTGTCTCTATTATGTCTCCCTTTGCATGAATGTTAGCTCTACATGGGTAGAGGATTTTGTATGTTGTCAGCATTTAATCCATGTTTGTTGAATGAATGAATGAAGGTAGAAGAAGGACCAGAGTGAGGAGAGGCTAGAGGATGGGGACCAGTCATGAGGTACTGGAATTGTCTAGGTGAAAAATTATGAGAGCCCAAACCAGGAAAGCATAATGGGAAAGGCATGACAGAATGTAGCTCAGAGCCATTTTTGCTGAAAATTTACCAGCCATGGTGACCAAATCAATGTTGAAGATGAAGAGTTGGGCAGGAGTCAAAGAGACTCTCCAGCTTCTGGCTTGAACAACAGGATAGGTAGAAAGAGAAGTGAGGCAGAGGGGCAGCTATAGAGTTTGGGTTTGAAAATGTTGAGTTTAGGAAATGTTCACTAAGTAGTTAGAAGAACTATAACCAAGCCCCTCTCCTTTTTGGAAGCTACTTAACTGAAAATATACATAGTTTATATTATTGTTGTATAGCCCCTCTTGGTTATAATATCAATTCTGCCCCTCTAGTGATAATTTAGTTAGAAAGCAGCAAGTGTATGCAAAAATGATTCAGCTATGCTTATCAGATGATAAGATCTGATTTAAAAATCATATTTTTTCATATTATACAAATAATATATATTCATTGTCAAATGATCCTAGGAAGTTAAATGTTTCTCCAAGAGGTGGTAAACCATCCAAACTATTGGCAATAACAAATTCTTTAACTTATATTAATTGGGCAAGTCATTTATTTTTATTTTAGTAATTGACAAATGTCTTACTCAAAGCCAGAATCTTCTAATTACGCTGACCTGAGAACCTAGCCTTCTTTCACTGGCATTTCCCCCTTGAGGGCACTGCAGCTGCCACCGCCTCCCACCCTCTTCCCTGGCGCTCGGCCACGGAGAGCTTGTGTTGGGTGTCTGCCAGTTGCCCGTCAGCTCAGTTGGAGACTGCAGTCAGGTCTACAGACTAGAACCCACTGGCTACAGAAGAGCTGAGATTTCCTGAAGCAAAGAATTCCAAGTAAGCTTCAGGATGAAAGTGGGAAGAGGAAAGCAATCTCTCTCCTGCCAGCATTTGTACAAAAGAAACAATAGAGAGTGGAAATTTGTAGAGGGAAAAAAAAATCACTTAAGCTTTTCTAGGAAAGCTGCTGCTTATGCACAGAGAAGTCGGGCTCTTATGCAGGTCTTTTCATCTTTGGGGACACAGCTAAAGCGTGATTGCGTCAGAAGATTTGGAATCTTACTAGCTGAGAGCCACTCTAAGCCTTGCTGAGCCTTGGTTTCCTAATCTATAAAATGGGAGAATTACAATGGAGAATTCACCTCTATGAAGAGGACTCTCAAGGTTGGAGTGAGGTGCAATGAGGTAACGTGCACGAATGTTTCATAACTTTATACCTGCTACCAGAAGCCTCCTAGTTCAAGTACAGCGTACTCGGATATTCACAGAAATAAAACAGCTTCACTCAGCCTTTCCTAACATAGCTCCTACCTTCTCCCCATCCCTGCATCCCAGTTTCCAATACCTTACTGTGCTTTTTCCTCCATCACAGTTATCGTGACCTGAAAATGTATTTAATTATTCTTTCTTCCCTTGCTAGACAGCCAGTTCCGTGAGAGCAAGACTCTGCCGTCTTGTTCACCATTGACTCTCCAAGTGCCCAGAAGAAGGCTTGATGTTATAGTAGGTGCTTAATAAGTAGCTGTGAAATGTTGAAAGATGAATGCATGATCTGATTCTTCCAGGAACAAGACAGCGTAGAGCTCCAGCTGCTAGTTCTCAAACTTTGGTTTGCTTGTTTCAAAGGCAGATGCCCTGCCCCAGTACAGAGGGATTCTGAGTAAGTGGGACTGGTGGGCCTACTGAATTTGCTATTTTTAACAGGGTGATTCTGTTGCAGATAGTTACTCTTAATCAAGACAAATCTTGTTCTGACTCCAGCCTGACACTTAACCAACTGTATGACTTTAGGGAGGTAAATTCTTAACTCCTCTGAGCCTGTTTCCTTATCTGTAAAATACGAATGACAATATTCCCACAGGGCTGTTATGAGAATTAAATTCAGTAAAGGATATAAAGTTCCTGGCACAGTACCAGTTATGCAGTTAGCTGCCATTATTTTTATTATTATAGAATGGCTTATTGTTCTGCCCTGGCAGGAGAAGAGCTTTCCTCCTTGGAGGAATGATCTTGGAAACCTCCTGAAAGTGTGGTCTGGACCAATGGCATCACCTGGGAGCTGGTTAGGAACACAGAATCTCTGCCTCACCCCAGACCTGCTGAGTCACAATCTGCATTTTAACAAGATTTCAAGGTAATTTGTTCACACATACAAGCACCGCTCCAAGTCACAGGTACTGTTTTCTCCCATCTCTAATTTCAGAGTCTGCCCAGGGGATGGGTAAGCCCTGGCATCCCAGAGTCTGAATCCTTCTCCGTGAAGAGGAGGAACCCCCAGCTCACTCCAGGTGCACCTCCAGCTGAGGACCTCAGGAGGAGGGATCCTCTCACGGAACCTGATTAGCAGCCACTGAGCAAGGGCCTGCGGAGCCAGGGGATGGATCCAAACTCCAGCTTGCATTCTCCTCCATCCCAGGCCTGCTTGCACCTGGCACAACCTTGTATAGAAGATGGAAGAAGCCTGTCCCTCCAAGAGCAGGGCAGAGACTCCCCGTTCCTCTGGAGACAGGTCCCCAGTTCTAGCATTGCCGACCCTGACTGGTTTTGGGATGAACACATCCAGGCAAAGAGGGCCAGAGTAGAGACCATTGTCCGAGGCATGAGTGTCTCCCCTAACCCTCTGGTGCCAGGCAGCACCCCAGCCAGGGACAGCCTGTGCTGTCCAGAGAAGTCCCGGGAGCGGAAGAGGAAGCAGAGCCTTCCCGTGCAGCAAGGCCCCCTGAAGCCAGGCCCTGCCGGGGACCGGGGCAGCAGGAAGGGGGGCCCTTGGGTGAGAGAACAGCTTCACCTGCTGAAGCAACAGCTGAGACACCTGCAAGAGCACATCCTGCAGGCTGCTGGGCCCAGGGCCACAGCTCAGGGCCCAGGAGGCTCTGAGACGGGAAGGGGCCCTCTGGGGGTAAAGCAGAGGAATGGCTGGGGGTCTAGGCCCTGGGGGGTGGACAGCGACCAACACCAGGGTTCCAGCAGGGGCCGCTTCGTGGCAGAGAAACACAGAGTGTGTGAGGGCAAAACCCAGTCTGAAGAATCCAGGTTCCTTCCTTCTGGAGCAGGGGCTTTGCTGGAGATTCTGAAGAAAGAACTGACTGGAGCAGTATCGCAGGCTGTGGACTCAGTATTACAAAAGGTGCTATTGAATCCTCCGGGCCCCCTGACACAGCTAGGCAGAAGCTTCCAGGGGCTGGTGCCGGATGGCAAAAGCGAGCCCTGCCCTCCTGAGGGAGGTGCCTGTAAAGACCCACTTCCTCTGGCTGCCTTGCCCACGAGGGCCCAGCCACAGGCAGGGCTTCCACTGGGAACCTTATCTCTGGCCAAACCTCTAGATCCTCCCAACTACCCTGTCTCTCCAAGAATGATCCCCAAACCCTATCAGGGGCCCCCAGCAAACTGTCCTTTGGCTGTGCCTCCTCACAGTCAGGAAGGCCAGGTGCTCACCCAGCTACTGGGCCGTGGACCCAGAGGCCACTGGCACGGCAGTCTCTCCCAGGACTCATCTCCCCAGAGTCAGCCTTCCTCAGAGGTGGCCCTGCGACCTTGGGGAGCTGCCAAAATGCGACCACTGGCTTTGAGGCAGCAGCAGTGCCCCTGGCCTTTCACGTCCACCTGTCTGGAAAGACTGCCCCTTATTCCTTCAGTGAAGACGGAGCAGGATGGCCTTCAGGCTGTCACGAATGCACTTCCTTTCCCTTCAGTCCACATATCCTTTACTAGTAATGGAAGTTCTTGTCACAGCCCAGAGAAACAGGATCTCTGGACAATGAGGGGAGGCGGGGACAAATAACTTCCTGGTGGAGGAACAGCGCTGCTCCCCGGGGGTCTTCTGAACACTGCTTCTGGGCCTTCCTCCCCATGGCTCACATTTGTCAGGTTCCTGGGAAAGTGGTGCCACACTTTAAGGATGCTGGGAGGGTTCCTTTACCTTCTTCCGTGACACCTTAGATTCTACCACTGCTGACTTACTCCTTTGGGTGTTTGTGTTTAAACCCAAATGGATTCCCAAAATACAACAAATACCCTATGGAATGAAGAACCCCATCATTTGGTTGTCAGCTGCCCATACACCTTGGCAGAGGGGGTCAAAGGAATGGCCTCCCCTGAGGTATGGCTCCTGGAACCTCTTGGCTGTACAGGCAAAAGGCCTGCACTGAGTACATAATTCATGTGGAAGATATGAGAGACCAGAAACTTCTAGGGCAGATGGGAAAGGGGACTAGACTGGAGACAGCTGAAAGGGGTTGGAAGGCTTCAGTTTAAGGAATAGATTCTTAGCTGCTGCTGAGGAGAGAGCCTGGGGCTATAGGCATGTGGGGAGAGAGGAGGCCCCGTGGGGAAGGCTGCAGGGCCCAGGCTGGTCTGCAGGGGTCTGAATCTTATTGCATCATCTTTGCAACCCTTAGGCAGACCCCACTCTTAAACAGTTTTTTCCCAGAGTAACTCTCCCTTAGGATATTAATCGCTGTGGAATTAGAAGAAAAAGTAGCTTGGATAAATACTTGGTTAGTTTCATTATTGCAGAACTTCTCAGAGCCTTTAACATGCTGAAGTCCCATGTAAAGCTCTAAAAGGAGAACATATGTAGCCCTAAACTCATATGACCAAAGAACTCTTTTCCAACAAACATCTTGTAGGACTAAAGTTCCTGAGAATATAATATATTTTGGATGATGCTTTTTGTGAGCTGAGCTCATGCTGCTGCTTCTCATGGACAGCCTTGAATCAAGGCTCCAGAGGTCAGTGTGTCTGTGGAGTCACACATCCAGGTGTGAAGTCTTCCTCTACCTGGCAAGCCGTAGTGAGGGCAGCAGGATGGTGTGGAACCAGCTCACTGCCACACCAGGGCTGGCTCTTGTGTCTTAAATGCTATGAGCGCCCCCTGCTGGTCATGAGTATTGGAAACACTCTCAAAGCTCGGTTGCCGCTGGGTGCTTCCCTGGCAGGCAATGAGCAACTACGAAACCAATGCTAAGAGCACCTCACCAGCCACCAGTGCCTCCTCAGGCAGTAGACATAGAGATATCAACATAGAAGTTTTCTTGTCAAGTGATAGCCCTGTGGGAGAAAAGCTATCTGTCTGGGCCTTTAATAAGAGGCCATTGGATAAGATTCCCAGTCAGAGTCAGGCAGTGATGGAAGAACCTTGGGAATTCAGTCCTCATAGATTCTTTGCTTCCCTTGTAAGGGATGTGCTGCTATTTCTCAAGTGCCTCCCGTGTGCCAGGTCCTGCCTCGTAAAATGAGGATTGGGCTCGGAGAGCTTCAGGAGTTTCGGAGCCCATCCACAGGGCCTGGCTGCCCAGGTCAGGTGCTTGGCTACCTTTGCAATGATTTGGGGACCCCAGGCAGCATCCTGGCCCCAATTATTCCCTCATTACTGCCAACATCCCAGCATTAGAGATTTATCCCTCTGGGCCACAAAAGCCGCCTAAGCATAAGATGATTTGAAGTGTAAAAGAAGTTCACATTCACATGACATTCCTGTGAAACAGGTAAGGCAGGTGTGACAATGAGACAGTAATGAGAGGAGCATTTACTACACACCTTCTCCGAGGCAGGCACTGCTGCCAGCATTTCCCATGTGAGGGCTCGCCATCACCTAGCCACAATTCTGAAAGTCAGAACCCTTTGAAAATCCCTATGATTTCTTTCCCCTAAGGTTGATGGGAAACTTTCTTGGTCGTAAAACCTGACCTGCAATGATAGTAGACTATTTATGGGATCTCATTTAGTATAATTAGTCACTGATTTTGCTAGGAGAACATCAAACTATTGGATTAGAAGATTGCCACAGACCCTGCTGTGGTCATTTACTAATGTGTCATCCATGCAGAATATTGCCCTTATAAAATAACAAGGATTCTGAAACTTGAACTCCATTTGGCTCAGTGTTTCAGATAAGGGATTGTGGGCTTGTGTTATCTCACAATCCTCAAGCATTCACTCTAGAACAGCATCAGAGAGGCAGGGACAGAGAAGCAAACTAACTCACCCAAAGTCACAAGACAGGGCCAGGATTCAAACCCAGCACCTGACTGCCGAGCACAAGCTTCAACCACTACAGTCTACAGTTCAGAAATGAGGCACAGAGAAGGCAAGTGACCCAAAGTCACACAGGGAATAGGTGGCAAAATTATTATCTGAAACTGGGTCTGTGGACTCCCAATCCAGGATTCTTTCCACAGCATTTCCGAACCTGTAAGAAGGACAAGACATAGGGCCAATGAGGCAGGGGCCAGGGGGCCTCCTGGGTAGCAGTCTGGTTGCCTGGGCCAGCTATAAATGTAAGCAGTCAGCTTGATCTCCTTCAGCTAAACCGACATATCCTACTAAGAAGAGGGGGAAGGTATAGCTCAGTGGCAGAGTGCATACCTAGCATGCACAGGGTCCTGGGTTCAAGACCAATACGTCCACTAATAATAGATACAAACCAAAATAAATAAAAACCTAATTACCCCCCCCCAAAAAAGAAGTCTTAATTGTCCTAAAGCTTCAGCTCTCAGGCCTGAGCTCCAAGGTTGCTCTGTATAATGCTTCTTACCCAGCCCTTGGATTGTTTCTGGGAATGCTAAATGTTCTCGTGTAAGAATCTTTATGTCCCTCCCCCCCTGGGGCTAGGTTTTCACACCACAGCCCCCTGCTCTCTTTGAAGGGAAAGAAATCTGTTCCCAGAGTGAGGAATGGGTTGGTATAGAATTTCCATATTTGTGTATGGATTAAGGTTGACCATTTAATCACTCACTCCTTCTCTCATCCAACAAACATTTATTGAGCACCTACTCTGTTTCCAGCACTGGGCTAGGCATGTGGAATACAAAGATGAAAAGATAAGGTCCTTGCCCTCAAAGAGCTCACAGCCTAAATGGGGAGACAAACATGCAATAAAAATTCCAGTAAAGTCATTGTTACAAAAGAGGTTTATACAAAGAGCCTTGATAGCCCAGGGTAAAGAAGGCCTAATTCAGCAAGGAGAGGTTTCCAAGAGGAGGGAACATCTGAGCTGAGACAAGAAGGGTGAGGGAAAGTTCTGCCAGGCAAACGGAGAACAGGAGGTGCAGCCCAGCAGTTCAAGCTTCTTGAACCAAAGCAAACTGTGATCTGGTGCTCAGTCTGGTAGATGCTTGTTGGCTCAACACTGCAAGGGCAGTGATGAGAGCCAGGATGCAGGCCATCTAGTCGACTCCTCTCATTTTGCAGCTGAGGAAGCTGAGGCAGAGAGGGGAAGTAAATCTTTACTTCGGGTTTCGAAATGGCTTATCTGGGAGAGAGCTGCTGTCTCTTCCCACCCTATTGTGAAAGCACACACACAAGTACAACAAACTGTATCTGATGTCACATATGCCTCAGAACTTTTACACTTCCGACTGTTGTTAAAATTCTGCACTTTTACTGTACATACATGGTATTCGGCATCTGGAAAGAAAAAGCTTATCTGATCATACTTGCTGGAGACAAAAAATGGAACAGACACACCATTCAACCAAAAAAACAAACAAACAAACAGAAACCATAAGGAACAGGGCAATTCACTATTTGGATAACCTGACAAAATTATGTGATAAACTGGTGTTAGTTTTCCTTGACACTGGGATAAATCCAGGAGGGCCTCAATCCGGGTCACTTGAAGAAGGCCAAACTGATGTTTTTCTTCACACGCTATCCCAGCTCCAACCTCCTGAAGGCTTATTTCCCGGATGTTCAGGTAAAGTCCTTCAACTGAGTTTCAGCCTCTGCAAAACTCCCTAGTGGCAGCAGGTTCTTCCCATGTGAGGCAAGGCCTAGGTCAGAATGTGTGCACTGTAGCTCCCCTTCATGTGGATGGAAGCAGTGGCATCTCTGGCTCCAGGCTGAGATGCTGCCTGTGTGAAAAATCTTCATAAAACTAGGCTATAAAAAACATTTATTTTTTAATGGGCATTTTGGTTAATTCAGATTTTTCTGTGTATAACTGAAAAGGTTTGGAAAATAGCTGTGGCTTCTTTTTTAAAGGAAGCCCTGTTTAGTGTTGACAGAAGCCATTCTTGTTAATCCCTGTGTTGAACTGGAAGCTCACAGTTCTGACTCTGAGCACCTCATGGCAAACGTCTGACTTCATGGACCCTGTTGTTTGTACAGTTCAACCGTTGCGTTACCTCCCAGATGATCAAGTGGTTCAGCAACTTTCGTGAGTTTTACTATATCCAAATGGAGAAATTTGCCCGGCAAGCAATTTCAGATGGTGTCACAAATCCCAAAATGCTGGTGGTTCTCCGCGACTCAGAACTTTTTCGGACTCTCAATATGCACTATAACAAGGGGAATGACTTTGAGGTAAGACCATGTACTTGGGCCCCAGGGGTTCTGATGAGTGCCTTCCCTTGGTGATCGGAGTTTTAGAAAAGATCCCCTTCCGTGTCTGTCCTTACATCACTGAGAGCCAGGGCAGCCTAGGGCTAATCTCTGTACCATCCATGAAGATTACAGCCACCACATCTTCTCTCAGGCAACAGGTGGATGCTACAAACTGAGTATACGCCCACTCTTTATTCAGAAACGTAGCCAGAGGTCAGGTGCTATGCCATTTCAACAATACTCTGCAATGGTTACGTAGCTTTGATCTTTTCGCCTTAGTGCCAGGAGGCCCAGGACTAAGTGCTGGGCTCAGCGGCAGCACCTAGTCTTGGCCTAGGTTTTCTCTACAACCGTTTCTGTTCTTTGCATCAGTTGGTTCTTATCTTTATTCTCCCCAGCGGTTTTATCTGTGGGCCCTCCATGGCGAGTCATCTCAAATCCTTTCTGGAAATAACAGCCAATACACAAGTTTCTCAGTCCTTTGGGGATCTCTATGAAGGCACACTGGTGGCACCTTAGAGGTAGAGCCTCAGTAGAGGGTGAGCAAGTGGCTTAATTTCGTTGGTGAGGAGTTGTAATCCTCCTGTGTGTGGCTGACAGCTGTTAGGCTGGCATCTTCTTCTGTGGGTGCCGGGTGAGTCTGGTCACCGACTATACTTCCCTCTTCTCGCCTTTCTCACTTGACTGTGATCACAAAGAGCAGTGTATTGATACCTCCAAGAGAGGGAAGAACTGTCGGCATCCACTGATCAGATGCTCCATCAGAGTATGTTTGGAAACCTAAGCCTATCTGCAGGGAAAATGGACCATGCCTCCTTTGTGAGGCTCTTGGGGATCAAGGCTTGTGGGTGGGGGGCAGTGCTCCCACATCTTTCCAGGTAGGGGTGGTCATTTAGCATGCAGTGGTGGCAAACCCCCGGCCAGGCTGGATCTGGAAGCCCTGTGGGATGTCCTGTTGTTAATGGTGCTAGTTTGGGTGAGGTCCTGGGGCTCTGGAAGCAGGAATGATTCCAAGTCTTTCAAATTCAGCCCCAAAAGATGGTGGAATGAGGTATGACAGTGGTAAGATTGAGGGCAGTTCTTTCCACCTTAGGCACTGAGGGAAAGAATACTAAAAACCTCTTTTGAACACAGATCTCATTTCAGTCAGAGTCAGAGTTTCCCACTTACTAAAACCATCACCCATTAGTGGAATCAGCTACTTCTACAAAGGCAGTGTCCCTAAGACGCTTTCTTTCATGGCTGTCTCATCAGTACCATCATTTTAAGGTTTGTATTTGATGAAGGAGCAAAGGATTCCTGGGGCTGTAAAAATCAGGGGCCAGCAGAGCAGGGATGCTCTTATCAGCCCACCACCCAAGGAACAGGCAGCATCAGGCAGTGAAGTCTGTATGGTGCCAGGACTTCATAGCTTCACGTCTTTTCTTCTTTGTGGGTCTCTTTGGGAATGCAGGCCCCAGACTGCTTCTTGGAAATCGCCAGCTTGACATTACAGGAGTTCTTCAGGGCTGTCTCCGCAGGCAAAGACTCAGATCCTTCCTGGAAGAAACCCATTTATAAAATTATTTCGAAACTGGACAGTGACATTCCAGAGATATTCAAATCTTCCAGCTATCCCCAGGAGCTGTTTCGGAATTAAGACAAAGTGAGGAGTGACTGGCCTGGGTTTCCAGGGTTTGTCTTAATTGGCAGTCAGTACAGCTGCAATTATATAAAAAGGGCATGAGAAACCCCTCAAATAGGTACTATTACCATTTTTGATCATTTAGATCATTTATTTCCTTTTCCAGAGTTATCAGAGGTTTAGTATTAACTATAAAGTATTGCAAAAGGAACACAACAGTTTGGAACCAGAAGACTTAAATCTCCACTCATCTCCAGGTATCATGACCTTAGGAACCTGCAGGTGTCTTTACATCTGTAAAATGAGGCTGTAAGGAAATGTGAAATGTTACCACACAAATGTTATTTTTCCCCCCTTCAGCTTTCAGATAAGGTTATCGCATTTGGGGTTTTTACAAATTGCTGTTTTTAGTTACCTATTTATCAAGCTCCACCTATTTGCGAGACACTTTCAAATACACTACCTTTTAGCTTTTTACCCTGACAAGTAGATACTATCTTCATTAAAAAAAATAACCAAACAGAAATTTTAGAACTGTGAAGTAAGTCACCAAAGGCTATGAGGCTGGGACATTTGGGTTGGTAGTGGTGGTCAGGAGTGTGGAGAACCTACGACCTTCTCATGCCAGGCTGGGTGCAGACCCCCTGATGCTGCTGCCCATGCTCTCACACAGGCCAGCATCCCCAGTGAGCATCCAGCACTGACACGGCACTACCTTCTGACAATCCCTGCCCAGCACTTAGGAGTGCTTCATTACCAGGATGTCCACTGATCATTCTAGCAAGCCCAACACAAACTTTCTGCAGGACTTGAGTGTTGCTATATATTCACATCTGTCTGCTAGAAGAGTAAATTAGCTGGATAACCCAAATAGTCTCTAGCTGACCAATGCAATTAATGCCCCAACCTCCTATGTGCAGAAGAAACTGAACTTCAGACTATGAAAGCTAGAAAGAGCCTTTGGGGCTTATCTGGCCCGCCCTGCTTAAATGAGGAAGGAGAAATCGAAGCCCAGGCGGGAGGCTTTCCACAGACTGTGCACAGCCTCAAAGATGAACAACAGCGGAACTGGGCCAAATACAGCATCACACACAGGAACGGAAATTCTGCTGCTCCTTAAAGACATTACAGATCATGGTCTATCTTTCACAGATAAAGGAATTCATGAAAACATTTTTTTCCCTGCTGGCCCAACACAAATTGTGACTTGCTCTGAGCATATAGGCAGGACGTCTGCAAAGCTGAGTAACTGCATCTAGCTTCCAAGCTAGTCAGAATCAAGTTTTTGAAAGCATTGCCTAAGATGGGCAGGCTGGAGTGTGCGTCACACAGAGCTCGAACTCTGCTGCTCTAACTGAGGGGTGTTTGGGGCTTCATTAGCTCACTGGTTCCCATCCACATGAAACATGTTTCCATATTCAGCTACCCCACTTCCTTGACTGGAAGTGGGCTGGATCAGATGAGATAAAATCTCATCTATTCAACTACTGCTAGAGGTACCAACATAAAAAGGTAGGGAAGACGACTTTCTTTTGAATTTTCCCTCACCCCAAACATCTTAGAGGAAAAAGAAAACAAACATACTCAGCCCAAACCAGTCTTTTCAAGTTGTTTTAAGGTTATTTGCAAGTGTCCTTCAATACATCCAACTATACTCAGATGATCTTTGCCCTATTTCCTCCCACAATGTTCCCATTACAAAAATGAAGGACTCTGCCAAATCTAAATTTTTAAAAGCAGGCAAGCACTGAGTACTCTGAGGAAGGGCAACCAGTTATCTGTTTGGAGACAGGCGAACCCACTGTCCAAAGTGACATCACATATTTAAGACATTCATGGGAAATAATTCCAAGTTCACACAATTACCTAATGTAGAGCAGCCATTTTCTGTCCCAAACCTGAAATTCATTAGTGTGTGTTTTAAACACTGAGCCAAGCCACCTCCAGGGCAGTGAACCTTATCCCAGGGACCAATTAGATGAAACGCTCAAGCTCAAATTGAAAACACTTGTGTACTGCAGTCTTTCCAGGAAGTGTTCTCTAACCACTGAGCTAAACACAGAAGAATGTATAAATATATATGCTCTGCCAACAGAAGAATTCTATTATTATATTTTCCTGTTTCTACCAAGTATGGTGGGAACACAGTCAGAGTTGGTTCTTGTATTCTTTCAGCAGTCACAGTATTGCCAAAGGTCATGTTATTCTTTCCATCAAGGTGTATGTGGGCACTATTCTCTTCCAAATTAGACATGTTCAGTGTCTGGTCAAATACTGCTTAATTGTCTAATCCTTCGCTGATGGACAATAGAGCCTGGATTATGGTTTATGATGATGACACTGTTGAGGAGACAATGTCCAAATATCAATTAAATGCAGGCAGTTAACTGGCATTCCATGCAGAAAAAGGTTCATTTGGGACCTTTATTTCAAACACGATTTCATTTAGTATACACAGTTCCAAACTGGATTCATACGGTGAAGAAGCCCAAGGCATCTCCTAGGTGTATAAGGGGTACATGAACCATTTCCTTTCCATCAGAGAAAGGGCAAAGCATACATGGTGGAGATAGCACGCACTCTTTAGTAAAGTTCGGCACCCCAGACCCATGGAGGTCCACTTTTTAAAAATTATCTTTGTTTTAATGATGAAATGTAGAATCCTCAGAAGAAATTAATAATTTAAAATAAGACTTCCGTAATAACATAACACGTGCCTTTAGAAAATATTTCTTTTTAAAATCTTTACAAAATTTGTTGAAATTTTAGTAACCAGTTTCCTGGATGAAGTCTTATATTTTCTAAATGTTCATAATCTTTGATTCTAGCTCTTTTCTTTATAGTTTTGTTCTGTCAAACACATCAAACATAGTTTGATGATGCATGTATTCAAAACAAAATAGAAATTTTAAAAACCTGTTGATATTTTACACAGACTACTAGGTATTTGTATAGATTTCATATAATGTAAGGTCATTTTTCTCAGGACTGAGGAAATCAAGAAAAAATGAAATAGAATGATGGGTGGGAAAGAGATAGAGTTATAGTTCTTTCAGGCTGATAAGTAAATTATACACATTTATATTTGAAAAGTGCTCTATAATTTTTAACAATTGCTTTAGGACTTGATGCTTTGGGGGAAAAGATAAGCTTGTGACAATATAACAAATATAATACTTCTCAAGAGTGTACAAAAATATCCTTGGTCAGATTTAAGTGTATACAACACACTGTAAAGAATGAGCTCTGGTTACCTATGTGAAAGCATTAATAATGCATTCTATGTCTCTGCCACAGATCACGGTACCCACATTTAAAAATATGTACAAAGTACTCACCTGTGGAAAAAGATAATTCATGAAAAGAGTATTTTTCATGGGTGTACAATTCCTACAGACCAAGAAGAAGCTCTTTCAGAATATATAAACCTAAACTGTACAACCATGTGCCCAGGAGTTGAATGCTCATTCATGTTTTTTAGAAAACCAGATGCTGAGCCCCAGAGGAAGAAGGGAATACCTGAGGAAACGTTGAGAGCAGATACAGACAATGAAAACAATACAAGAACATCCACTCCAAACCTCACCAGTTTTACGTGTCCCTCCACTCACTGAGGAGTCTGCCTTCTCTTTCGCCAAGAGCCTTTCGGAGTTACTTTGTTTCTCACGATCTTACCACTTCACGCTCACAAACTCTTGTTTAGTCATTTCTGAGTTCTCCAGAGTTACCCAGCATACAAATATCAGGTCCTAGTCTTCCCTTAGAAAAACCTTTTTCTCCCCACATTTACAAATTTCTGTGGCTGAAACCCCCATCTCCATGGTAACTGCTTCTGGCTTAGAAAGTTAGCCTTAGGCAAGAGTGTTGTCTCTTCCCTTACTCCCCTCACTTTATCCTCAATTATCTGATCTGCTGCCCTTCTGCCTTCACTTTCCCCCTCAACCGATACCTTTCCTAAGTAGATCATGGTCAAGTGCATGGGTTCTGGAGGTCTTTTCCTCCCGGCTCAAGCACCTACCAGCTATGGATCTCTGCCAGTTACTTACTCTTTTGGCCACAGCTTTCTCATCTGTAAAAGAGAGTTAATGAAATAGTACCTACCTCATAGTACTTTTCTAAGTTTTAGATAAAATCACACATGTGAAATTCTCAGCACTCCTAGTACATAGTATGTGCTTAGTAAATATTAGCTTAGTAAATATTGTTACTCAGCAGTCATAAACTGTTAGCAAAATCATGAATTTGTACTGCTTTACAGTGAAAAAGAATCATTTCTTAAGAATGGCACTGATGTGAGACATTACTGATTTAAAAATATTCTGAATTTTGTGATTACTATAACCGTGTAGTAACATGCACTAATACCTGTGATGATAACATAAAACTTGGCTTTAAAGTGCTATGTTAATATTTTCTGAGGTAAAGAAAACCCAGCTTAAAAAAAAGTCTTGTGTTAAAATCTCTATATGCATCCCTCAGTTACTTTTTATAACAATTCTATGTTGATGTGCTTACTTGACACATTACATAACTATTATTGCTATTTGCTAGTTGGTTGCTAAGACATCAACCTGCTTTTTTTTTTAAACAGCAATATAATACATTGCATTTTTCTAACCATTAAAAAAATTGAAGTATAGTCAGTTTACAATGTTCTGTCAATTTCTGGTGCAATACATTGCACTTTTGACACCCTTTTAATTATAAACTTAGTGACTCGTGATATTTCGAAAATTATTCAACTTCTTGCTTTTATCAACTGCTTTTTGGGACATTGTACCAGTGTCCATTGAATAGACTGGTTTTTGGCTTGAATATTTTCCAAATTAAGTTTTGTACAGTTGTTCAAAACTTCTGCTTCTTAAAGAGGCTGGTTCATGGCTTTCTGGATTGGGTGGGTGGGTGGGGAGAATTTACTGACACAACCCTGATTTTCCTCTCTTAACTTTTAAAATCTATGTTAAGAATTACATTTCTATAAAGATAAGCTTGCTGTCTTATTGAAAATAATTTGA